CCCTATCCCGCCTTTACCGTAGTCGCCACCTAGCCAGCAATAGCGCGGCCGCCGTAGGACTGGGGGCCGTTTACTTGTGTCATTGTTCACGGGGGGTATTTCCATAGTTGCTACGCTTTACGAGTGGGTTGGCAACTGCAGTTTTTTTTTGTACAATTGATGTTGTCAGGAAGGTTCTGGTGCCCATCTCCTGCCGCTTTCCCTCTGTCGCCTTTTACGACACCCATGGGCATTCTTAACCGCCACTACACGGCAGTAATTTTTAGCTTACTTATAAAAAAAATATAAAAACTTGTATGCGAGCCCGTGTGTACTCAAAAATATTAGTATTCCTACATCCCTTGGAAGGGAAGCACTTTAAAGATGTGCCTTTAACTGATTCTGAAGAGCTAGGTTAAGTAAGAATTTGTACCCACATGTACAAATTCAAACAAACAAACAATATAATATTACGTTTTTAATTAAATACTTGACTAATAATAAATAACAATACAAATATGATGAAGATGTTTAATTTTTCCGAAAATGAAATAAAGTAACATAGGAAATCTAAATCGAATGAAAGTCTCATAACGTTAAGCAATGTCCGAGACACAATACATATAAATAAGCCTAAAATACTCATTTTTTTTTCGGTATCGAAATTGTTTCGGTAAAGGTATTAGTAAAATAAAGGTATAACGATACCGTAAAAAAAATGTAGGTATAATTCTTTTTTTAACGGTACCACAACCGTAATTCTCAACCGTTTTGGTTCTACCTTTAAATCGAAGTTGTATCGTAATTCTATACCGGTACCATACCCTTATACCTTTACCGCTTTCAACCCCTGATTTGTTGGGTCGTTTTTAACCTTTTTATAAGTACTTACATCCGACAAAATTCTTGTATTTTAGAATTATAATCTGACGTATCCATGACTACCGTGGCATTTCCCTTATCTGCGCGCAGAATCGTAAGTTCTGGTTTATTGCGTAGGTTCTTTAACGCTATAAATTCGTCTTTGGGAAGATTTGGTTTAGGCACTAAACATCGACGTAACATAGACGAAATGTCTTGACGTATCGCCTCCAAATCTTCTTTCCGCATATTGTTTTTAAATAAACAGTCCTCGACACTACAGATAATTTCTTCGTACGGTAATTTGCGGGGTGTAATAGCAAAGTTGAGGCCTTTGGATAAAACCCTAATTGTTGCATCATCCAGTGTTTGTGTTGACAGATTATAGAGCGCGATTAATCTATGATCTGTGTTTGTCAATGGTTGCTTTTGGTTCTGGCATTGATTCAGATGTTTGACATTTGACTTGTTCGTTAATTTTTGATATTTTTCTATATGTTTGTTTTTGCATTCGTTATATTTACTAATTTCGCGTTTATTTAATGTTTCCATGCAAAAATTATAATCAAACGTCGTTAAAACTTTCTTTAATTCACTGGATGATGTGTCTATGGATTTATTTATGTCATATAGATCGGAGCGTTTTTGTTGGATTACCGTCCGTAACAACTATTTACTCGCTTGATTTAAGATTTTAGCGCTTCCTCGAATGTCCTTTTTGGTTGATATTTTGACACACGTAGGAATGAGATTATGGTCTCGGTATCTCTTCAAGAAATTTAAGGCTGTTAGATATCTTGCGCGCTTGGTCTTTAGATCTTCTAATCGGCGTATTTTATTTGTAATTACCAGTCCGTACTGGTTTACATAATGATTTCTTATATTTACGCGAACGCTACACATTGAAATAATACTAGTTTTTACGGAATTTATCGCGTATATTTAACTTTTTAAATACCCGACGTTTCGAACGCTTTACAGCACTCATGGTCACGGGCGGGACTGAGATGTTCAACGTCCATATGTCATAGTTAACCGCGGTTACCATAGATTAAAATTTAACTTTTGTTCCGATCTATACAGTATGACCTTATGGTATCTTGAAGTCTTGCAGTTGTATGCTTGGGTTGGGATTTAATTTTATTTATTATAGGATCCCAAGCAGATTGTAGCACCCAGCCATCTTCTCTATTGAAATTAGGATGTTTTTTGATTTCAATAGCCTCGCGAATCATCCTTGGAAGGAATCGGTGTTCTTTAGCGAGGATTTGCGGTCTATCAAATCTGATGTAGTGACGGGGGCGATCCTGTACGTGTTCACAGACTGCAGACTTCCCGGAGCGTCGATTCTTCACATCAGCTATATGTTCTTTAATGCGGGTTTTTATTGATCTTTTAGTTTGTCCTATGTAGGAGAGACCACATTCACAATCAAGCTTGTACACTCCTGCATCTTGCAGAGGGACATTACACTTGACTGATGGTAAAAAATGACCAATCTTCTTCAGCGGCTTGAAGCTTGTTGTCATGCAAAACTTGCTTGACATGGTGGAGCTCGGCAGCCAGGTGTTTACTGTCACAGATCCCTCGTGCTCTCTGAAACAAAGATTTACCCACGGTAGCTAACTGTGAAGGATGGTGGTGAGAATCACCGTTTAAATATCTATCTGCATGGGTCTTTTTTCTATACACAGTACACGCTCGACTGTGGCCGGCTTCACTCTTTCCTAAACCTAAACCGAATCTTCCCAAAGACGAATTTATAGCGTTAAAGAACCTACGCAATAAACCAGAACTTACGATTCTCCGCGCAGATAAGGGAAACGCCACGGTAGTCATGGATACGTCAGATTATAATTCTAAAATACAAGAACTTTTGTCGGATGTAAGTACTTATAAAAAGGTTAAAAATGACCCAACAAATAGCACACTAAAAACAACTAGTGACCTCATAAAGAAACACTCCGAAAAATTAAATCTGGACGTAAAATGGATAATACCTACGTGCGCCAAACCACCAAAATTGTATGGGTTACCAAAAATACACAATGCCCAATGCTCCATTACATCCTATAGTGAGCCAAATCGATTCACCAACTTACAGATTGGCCCCACACTTAGCGAAAATACTCTCACCGCTCAGGGGACATACAAGAGCACACAAAGGATTCGTACCATTTTGTCAGCGAGATTAAAGACCTACATCTGGCAGACAATGAAATTATGGTCAGTTTTGATGTGCAGTCATTGTTTACATGCTTACCTGTTGAAGACTGCATCTCAATTGTAACTAGAAGGCTGGAAGAAAACAACATACCCGTAGAATATGCAGTATTACTCAGACACTGCCTTACATCTGTCTACCTATTGTGGAAGGAGGAGTTCTACAAGCAAGTAGATGGTGTGGCGATGGGCTCACCTGTATCTCCCATTGTCGCCGACATATTCATGGAAGACTTTGAGGAGAAAGCCCTTCTTAGTTCTCCCATAAATCCAAGATTCTACAAGCGGTACGTAGATGACACTTTCACAATTCTACCTTTAGATAAAGTAACTGCATTTTTAGACTATCTTAACTCTATAAATTCTAAAATTCAGTTCACAATGGAGTTAGAGGCAAACAATTCCTTAGCTTTTCTAGATGTGTTAGTAATTCGGAATCCTGATAACACCTTGAGCCATACTGTGTATAGAAAAAAGACCCATACAGATAGATATTTAAACGGTGATTCTCACCACCATCCTTCACAGTTAGCTACCGTGGGTAAATCTTTGTTTCAGAGAGCACGAGGGATCTGTGACAGGAAACACCTGGCTGCCGAGCTCCACCATGTCAAGCAAGTTTCGCATTACAACAAGCTTCGAGTCCCGCGCCTACGTCACAGTGAACGAGTGAAGCCGGCCACAGTCGAGCGTGTACCTGCTGTACTTCCCTATATTAGAGGAGTCACTGACAAGATTGGCTACATCTTGAAGCGCGCTTCCATCAAAACATACTTCAAGCCGCTGAAGAAGATTGGTCAGTTTTTACCATCAGTCAAGTGTAATGTCCCTCTGCAAGATGCAGGAGTGTACAAGCTTGATTGTGAATGTGATCTCTCCTACATAGGACAAACTAAAAGATCAATAAAAACCCGCATTAAAGAACATATAGCTGATGTGAAGAATCGACGCTCCGGGAAGTCTGCAGTCTGTGAACACGTACAGGATCGCCCCCGTCACTACATCAGATTTGATAGACCGCAAATCCTCGCTAAAGAACACCGATTCCTTCCAAGAATGATTCGCGAGGCTATTGAAATCAAAAAACATCCTAATTTCAATAGAGAAGATGGTGGGGTGCTACCATCTGCTTGGGATCCTATAATAAATAAAATTAAATCCCAACCCAAGCATACAACTGCAAAACTTCAAGATACCATAAGTTCATACTGTATAGATCGGAACAAAAGTTAAATTTTAATCTATGGTAACCGCGGTTAACTATGACATATGGACGTTGAACATCTCAGTCCTGCCCGTGACCATGAGTGCTGTAAAGCGTTCGAAACGTCGGGTATTTAAAAAGTTAAATATACGCGATAAATTCCGTAAAAACTAGTATTATTTCAATAAATAAACATTATAAATATAATACATAGATAAACAAATTATAGTAATAGAACTAAGAATAGGGAAGGTAACTAGCCCCTGAAATACAGGTATTATATCCTAGTTTAGGGGCTAATGACCACTGTAAATTTTGTGCATGTAATAATATGTTTATCAATAAAGATTATTATTATTTGTCATAGTTGCAGGCGGGTTTTAATTTTCTAGTTAATAGAAAGATGTTGCCCATTGCTGTCTATCTTCTGGTTTGATTCGCTTTGTCGGCTCTTACAATACCATAGGGACAATGTGGGTTAGTGGATATTCTTACACTGCCCATACGCAGTTGGAAACTGATATAAACTACATAAATATTAGTATGTAATGCTTACAAAAACTATGGGATATTGTGTCTAGCTGAATTGTCTCTTAATGTTATTCAGCTTTGGATAGTTTCACTAGGTTTAAATACGATATTTCTCACTATTGTGTCAACAGGTAGATTCTATTACTATATTTTGCAACAGCTCATGTGATTTGTGACAACAATAATATTTATTCCTTTTCAGGCATTCTCGATGTTCTTCATCTGCATAGCATTAACGTCAGACATGATATGTTTTTTCTTTATACCTCTGCAGTATATATTCTTTGCTGCTAGTACCTATGTATGGGTACAGTACGTGTGGTACACATGTAAGTATTTTAATAATAATTAAATAATAGAATGTTATATACTAAGGACTAAAGTTTGAATATAAGGGTTATTTATATTTATAACAATATAATATTGATAACTGGGTGGTGCAGCTTGCAGTCTGCCTAGAAGTTTGTGTAGGTACTACTGTCTTATCTATTTATGCCGTTGTGTTGTAATTCACCATTGTATTCTGGTTTGTAGGGCGAAGGGCCAGTGTAATCATGAGATATTCTAGATTATTGGCGTGGCAACTCTCAATGGACCTGTAACATTATGAATATATGTTAAGAGTAGGTAGGTTAGATAGATACATAGTTTGTTTGCCACTCAATTCTTTTATCATTCAATTATATTCACTAACGCAACATCAAAAGATTGTTCATTAGGTGGTGTTAAAGAAGATCCAACAGCCAACAGAGAGCCATGGTAGCTCAGATGGTTAGTGCTCGCTGTAAATTTCATAGTACGCAAGAAAACATCATGAGGAAACCTGCATGTCTGAGAAATAAGAAAAAAAACTTATTTGGAAGACATGTGAAATTCGCCAACACGCATTTTGGAGCAGCGCGGCGGACAATTCCTTGCTCTAAAATCCTCTCAGAAATGAGCAGAGGGCCTGTGCCCAGAAATAGGCTGTAACTTTAACTTTTTTTAACATTAAAGAATTCTTTTCTTAACTAATAGATTTTTGGAAGATGCTTTTCAGCTTATAAATTTATTATGAAAGTACAACTCGTGCAGTTAAAGAATGGGGTTGAAAATGGCGTTGCCTATATTCACCTCCCGCTTGCACACTGACACACATCGGTCGGTAAAGACTGCAAAAAAGTTCGATGCGATGTGTGTTTTTCTGTATGTTCTATAATAAGGTAGAGCCATGATGCAGTTATATTAGAAGTATAGTTGTAGCACGAATGGGTCCGCTCGACCGGGGAAGCACCATGCTCTCACAGAATATCAGCGTAAAATAGTAGCTTAATCACTCACCATACGATACATAGCAGTGTTTCGTATGGTGAGTGTAGAGAACCGGATACCATTTTTACTGGAAGTGAGGCATTCCGTCTTAGTCCTCACGGGTGCCAACACATCTGCATTTTGATTTGTAATCGAGGACAGATGTTGATGTCTATGGGCCACAGGAATCACTTACTATCAGGTAGACTGTGTGCACCCGCGTTTATTAAATATATAATATCCTATAAAAAAAAAACTTCAGTCCAACTAGTCATTGGAATTAATGATAACAAATTTCCACAAATTACGAAGAGAAAATTCAGTCTGATTTTACTAATTGTGTTCTTCATTATTATTGTTGATTTTGTTTGTTAATATTTTTGTATAAAATATTAATAGGAGTGATTTAGACTATATAATATATATTGATATGATATTGATAAGAAGATCAAATCGTCATTTTATCTTATCAATCAAATTGATAAGATAAAATAAATGGTCTTTAATGATTATCTTATCTTAAGTCTAAATAACGCCATATTAATAGATCTCACCCAGGAGAAGCCAGGGCAGGTCGTTAGTTGTGAATGTTACTTTAAAATTAATATACCTACTTATGTATACAGTTTCTGTCAAATATTTTCCCAATAATAGAAAATTTCCAATTAAAGAAATAATATAATGTTATAACAATATACCGTTATTTGCGGGTTTTCGTTATTAAGACTATACATGTTGACGGTACGGGCTTGATGCGCCGCCATTTTTAATCGCATTCTTTATCCGTACGGACTATAATGTAAATTGAATGTTTTGTGGAAAGCAATTTTGAACTTAAAATTTATTAGCTTGTTTTATTTAATAATTTATTATGGTATCTGTAATCTGTGATTAATACTGTATTACAAAAAGCTAACATTAGTTCTAGTAACAATAGTTCTAGTAACATTAGTTCTAGTAAAAAATTGATATACCTATTACAAATGTAGTACCCAGATGATCGAACTTTGCTCGGTTTTTTTTTGAAATTACATTTAGATACATTTATATACTGATAAATAATATTTTTTGATCTTATTGACATAATAGAAAAAACTAAACTGGTTATTTGAATGAAAAATCATGAGTGCAATTAGTTTAAAATTTTCGTATATTTAAAAATACAAAAAAAGGGCTCGAAATAATAGATTTTCTCACAAAAGAAGGAAACTTGAAAAAAAAAACAAAACAAAAAACTGACCGTATACAGGACGCGAACCAAGGTATTAACGATTTCGCGACCGCTCGACATCCACTAGAGCTATTACGATCATCAACACTGTTAAAATTTACCTTCTTATATTGTAGCAGTTTTTCATTGCCTGAAAACACGGACAAAAAGACATTTTCTAAAAATAAATCCTAGCTAGATCGATTTATTGCCCCCGAAACTCCCCGGACACTAAATTTTATGAAAATCGTTGGAACCGTTTCCTGGATATTCATCAATGCTATTTACAACTGTGTTCGGGTTCATTTTAGCTTTCTTCTCTGGATTTGAACTGTTATCAGTGAGAGGCCTCTTGCCTGGATTCTCAGTGAACTGTGCTTCTATAGCAGCGAGCTTATCCACGTCAATATCATCTTCAACAAATGTGTCCAATTCTTGATTGTTCACAACAAATGTGTCCAATACTTGATTGTTCACTCTTGCTTCTGGTCTGGATGTTTCTTCAAAAGTTGGTTCCGCTGTTGGACAGTTTCTGCCGTAGCTTGATGCAGTTATTTGAGCATGTGTTGCATTTGTATCTTGGTAAGTATTTATTGTTTTATTTTGGCCTGAAAACACATATGTACAATTGAGCAAAAAAATCAGCCGTAGATCGAACTATTGCTACATTACTCGATACTAATTTCAAACTTAATGGTGGCTGTAAAATTTGCTGCAAGTGCAGCTTTGCATAGGTAGTCAGGTTGAAGTTAATGTGTAATTAAAGCTTACTTAGTATACAATATATTAAGGACATTAAATCAAATATGATTTATTATCAACTTTTGTTTGTAAAATACTTTGTTTCTACGCTAAAAAAAGAGATACATTTTGTTTATTTGTTGAAAAAAAAAGGAAGTTTTATTTATTAACTTTTTATATAGCGCCACAGTATTTCAGAGCCGCCATTAAGTTAATGTCACACTCTACTATCAAGAACATGGCCTTCAAATTCCAACAAGACAAAAGCTTTAATGGTGTAAATATTAAATATGAAACCAATGTTTTTCTTACATACAGCTACAGGCAAGTGTAGTTTTGCGGACAACAAACAAGCCAATGAATTGGTGTCGACTAATTCCCGCACGTCGCCGCCCAGAAGTTCTATATTACTTTCTGTGAGTAGAAACATCCCGCGGCGACATTCAATTGGGCCTGAAAAATCAAATTACCATCTATTTTGAATTAATATTGTTATACTTCCGAATAATTTTTTTCAATCAACTAAACAAGTGATTTAAAAGTACCACAAACACAAGGATAGAGATTCTCGCTTATCCAATCAAACCCGTATTAAAACTTGCGATGGAGGTAGTCCAGAATTTAGAAACAAGGGAAAAATCAAAAAATAAGACCTGAAAGTTTACAATTTGCTATGTTGCACAAATATTAACACTTAGTTAACATTAGGTAATAAAATCCGCGGCGCAGTGAAAAGCTGTGGCCGGTATAAAGAGACAATCTCGAGTTTAAACTCTAAGTTTACAATGTCAAAATGTATGTAACGATATCATATTTTAGACATCAACGACCGTGTTGTAAGTAAAAGTCAACTTTAAAGTAATAAGAAAAAATATATACATTCTGAAGATGGTCCTATAACATAGTGTATTGAAGAACCATTTTGAGTGGACTTGTGTCGTGGAATGTCATCTAAATATGCTGTGTTATATATAATATATGTATATATATACAACACGTAACATAATTAACGCACTTTGAGAAAGTAGTTTGTTCAGAATCGTTTACTGAATCGATTCCTATCATTTTTAATATAGGTAATTTTTTATCCCAAAAGTCACACTAAATCTGTACAGTCCAAACAAACTGAAATGGACCGTAACTTAAGTCAATAAGACTTTTAAGAGTGCAGTTTTAATTGTAATATTACTAATTCTGTCATTTAGTAAAAATAAAGAAAAATAAACTTTATTTCAAGCATGTTAAAGTCTTTGCGTTCGTGGATTTGTACTGTGACCACAACATTCTTCCGGAATTAGTATAACTAATTTGATAAATAATCAGTGCATAAAAATGTTTGACTAAAAATTCAGTGTATGTATTATGATTATAACATAATATACTAATTGGGTTGTCTGAGGGTGTGCGTTAATTACGTTACATATTGTATATACACAAGAATTGCTTGTTTAAAGGTATAGGATTTGTAATATATCAATTTGCTCCAATTGCCAATCTGCCCCAGCTTCGCACAGGTGATTTTTGGATCTCAATAACATACATGAAACATTAAAACCTACCTCTTGAATCGTTCTGTCTATTGATGAAAACGCATGAAAATCAGTTGCATTGTTTAAAAGATCTAAAAGCGTACAGACAGTGGGAAGCGACTTTGTTTTATACTATGTAGAGAAGTACTTTGTTTTAATCCCAGAAATTAAAACATTTCATGTGTCGCTTTTTGGCTTATTTAAAAGAGTTATATCCAGTTTGCCGTGTAGTGGCGGTTAAGAATATCCACTACCCCATATCTTCCCGTGGGTGTCGTAAGAGGCGACAGAGGGAGACAGGCAGGAGATGGGCAGCAGCATCTTCCTGATAACAGCAACTGTACGACAAAAAAAACTGCGGTTGCCAACCCGCTCGCCAAGCGTGGCAACTATGGCAATATACCCCCCCATGAACAATTACACAAATAGACGGCCCCCAGTCCCCGGCGGCCCCGCTATTCCTGGCTACGGTGGCGACCATGGTAACGGCGGGGCAGGGGGTGCTAAGAATCTCCGGTGGAGGTTCGGTTGCCACCTACGACGACTCGACCTGGCAACA